TAGAAAACCACGAGTCACTCTGTCTTGGGCCATAATTATGCTAATTTGCCATAGTCTTGTGCAGATAGAAGGGAAGTTAGCTCATAGTGCTAAAGTTGGAATAGGACACCCTTATTTGCTATGCACTTTGTGAATTATTATACCACGTTATTCAAATTATGCAATAAACTACTTCACATTATTTACAAGTTTGAACTTTCCAATATTTGAGCTTTCTTTTCTATTCTGCATTTGCTTTTCTAGTGAGTGAACAAATGGTGATATCTTTTATGCCTCCGACCTTTCATTGGCCGTAAGGTCTAGCAAATTGTTCTGAGCCAAGAATAACTAGTAAGCCCATTCGAGAGTCATTTACGATAACTAGATGCATTTTCAAATTTCTGTGTGCACGGCATACAAGTTAAGACGCATCCAATGAATCAGCACGGTCACTAACTTGGTTACTAAATAGCCAGTTTTGCAAAAACATATCTCACAAGAAATCTAAGTTTCTTATTTTTGGAATTTTTTATACAAAAGCTTATGTGCTCCTTTTCTAGTTTCCTCACCACCACAGTGGTGATCTGTATTGTGAAATGAGGTTAAAAAAATACTATAGTGGCCTCTTGTGTGTCAGTCGGCGGTTATGTAAGAATAAAGTTTCGCCTATAGACTACACATGTTTTTTAAGCAAAATAAATCATAGACCTGACACAATGGAAAGTTACTGCGTTTATCCTACCACCAAATGTAAGATAGAATGCACAGTGTCTTGTATGATAACGAAGAGAAGGAACTTTGTTTGCAAATTAATTTGAATAGACCGGACCAGGTGGAAGAATTTTGGCAAAAATATGAAGCCCATAATTTGGGTTTGACCTTTTTGGAACTTTTAACACAAAAGCCAACATTGGTTTTGAAATTGCACGGTTCTTGTGCACAAAAAAATAAAATCTGACCAATTTTGGAAACAATAATCAGTGTAAAATATGCACACCGATATCCAATGTCTTATCCCAAGTCGCTAAATGAGTAATTGGGAATAAATCTGTCCTGATATGCCAGGGTATGATGCACACAGGCTTAACAGTTCCCCATGTCTTATTAAAATAAAAAAAATAATATCATTAGTCCACATTAAAGCAATCTATATTCATCGATAAGTCATTTCTCATTGATACCGTGATGTGGATTAGGTGAGGCTTTAAGCCTTAATGTTTCTCTCTAGAGGATCATCACCTTTTTAATCAACAATCTAACTGTTGATATATTACTGCAAGTGTCACCTATAATTTCGCATCCAAAGGCGGGAGGTTAGTTAGTGAACATTTAAGGGTTTGATTTGACTTCTGACCGAAAGCATGCATAATCAACGAACAAAAGCAGTAAATACAGATTCATTTGCAGTGTTGATTCCTTCGTGAGGTGTGACTTCGATATCCGTGTTCGATTGGAGACTAAATTTAGCCTTTTTACAACAGCGGATGTTGATAGGATCAAGTTTGTTGTTAACACCCATCGGTGGTTTGTAAATTGCAAAAAAATGTGTTATGTGCATAGTAAATGAAAAAAAAAGCATTCCACTCTTTTGATCTGGCAGTTTCATTTCAAAAAGTGGCTAGCAAATCAAGTTGTATGCTAATTACACAACCAATCAATATATCGTTCACTGCTCCTGTCATTGTTTAAACGATATCCTCGTGACGCTCACCATTGACATTACTTTGGGTGGTTCAGGATGGTTTACATTTAGCGTTCAGTCGTGCTAAGGTAAGGAGGGCCCGATCGGTCAACTCACCAGTAAACATGCTTCGTCCAAATAAATGTAAAGCCGTTAACAGCGTATTAATTCAATTAATTTCATAGGGGAAATAAATTGGTGGAAAATTCACGTGAGCTATGGTTCTAATTTGAGGATGCGGTATTGGGGTAGGAGCCACCTGCAAAAGCCGATATAATATACATATCAGTTCATCAAAATTTGTAGGAATGAGAGAAAGACATAGCAATTGAAAGCACAAATATTTTAATATTACAAACCCCGACTTATGTAGTGGGATGCCGCTTGAGATAAATGTGTGCATACAATACATATTTAAAAAGTATTAAGGGACATCATTCTATGCTATTCGCGTATTTAGCCCGTGAACCTCTTTACAAAGCATTTTAAGCTAAATCCTCAATGTTGATAGAGCTGGCATAATTGTTACTCTCAAAGTTTGCATTCTTAAGTCGTTTGAATCTGAAAATCATTTAAATATTAAAAGCATTGAGTTTCATAGAGAAGAGGTCCAGCATCACGTCGTTCGCTCATTCCCTCGGAGCCCTCGTATGACACTGAGTTATAGATCTAAGAATGAAATGTTACCCAACCTTAGCCATCCCAGCATTAATATCGATTAGTAGTTTACTCTACTGAATTCCATGGTAGCAAATTATTTATCAATTTTGTCGCATTGGTTTTTTGGTGCCAGGCCGTTGTGTTACACTTTCAATAGTAAACTGTTATAAATGTCGATCGAGGAGCTAACAAAATATTGACGAAAGTGCAGCGTGGTTTTACCTGGCCGACCGTATTTCCAACAATAAAGTTCTTTTCCTCAGAGAAATGTATGAAACAAGACAAATTTTGATCTTCGGATTGCAATACGAATAATCGTACATGACCTGGCGAATATTCTGATTAAACATGAATTCAGCATCTGCTACACGCGTGCGAGTCATGACTGAAACTGCAACCAAACCTCCTCTAAACACGCTGGCTTAAAACATGCATAATTCGAAATTGCAAACGCCGAATCCAAATCAGTTCACCCGGTACCAGCATAAATGCAGCAGGACAGACTGCTAAGTAAAATAAGAGGGCATCTTAAATTGTCCTTTTTGGGGTGAAAATGCACGATGAATTTGTGTCTGAAGTGGGAAAACGAGAGTAAGCTTCCCGGCCTACATTTATCAGAAGTATACATAGGCACAATTTAAATGTAAGTTAAATAAAATGGCAGAATTAGAGGATAAAAATTTTGTGATAATTGTTGCAAGTCAAAACAAAAGCCATCCATTTCTGACGAGTCGGGATCATTCCCGTTATAGATTTGAATCCAAGTCAAAAAGCAAGACATGTCAAGTTGATATTAAATTGAGTATTATTTACAGTAAAGTGTTCAGGGTAGCTTGTACTTTTCGTGTTTTTACTCAATAAATTCATTTTTCTGACCAGAAACAGCCATTAGAATCTTAGAGACATCCACAAACCTATCTTACTAGCAGAGATATCCATGTATTTTCACAAAAACCGTGGACTTAAGCATTTAAATGCGAACATAGGGCCCGGGATTGTATAGAAATTTCAGCTCAGAGTTAAATAGCCTTTTCAATTACGATTGAGTGTTTACCCACATAGCGGCTGTCTCCAGCAGAATTAAAGGTAAGAGTCAATTCATAATTTAAGATCACTTTTTTTATCAAATGAGAGGAGAAATAAAGTAACCTGGAAGTGAAAAATAACCGAAAATGACCTTAAAGCTATAGAAGAGCAAGCATGACTAAATTGCAGTAGGTAATTTGCAATGAAAGATTACCTTACCTGCGAAACGGCAAGGTTTTAGACATTTTTGAATAATTCAAAAAATAATCGAATTTTTAGTTATGACGTCATCTGCCTTGAATACGTAGAAGTCAGAACCTGAGAAAGCGACAAATCACGACACATGGCTAAAGAAATTTAGTAAGTCGTTAATTTTTATTAATTGTGTCTTGTTCAGAAATGCTAGAAGTGGATTACTGTTCGCAAATTTCAACGCAAGACTCTCTGCAAAATAAACCTATTAGAAAAAACAAATTATTACGCAGGGAGTTATTGTGAACTAAAAACAATGCTCCCATAATGTCCGATTCGACCGTGTGAGCTAGGTCAAAGACGGGAACCGTCAAGATGAAACAATTAAGAATTTTCTGAATTCTATTCAATTCATCCAACATGACAGCGTCATTTTTGTAGTAGTTCACTCCTCGTGATTTGTACATTACGCACAATCATAGTCTCCAAATGAATAATGTTATACAGGCATGCTGTGTCAGTGATCAATTAAAACAAAACAAAATCCGTAATTAATATTTTTTTACAATCCTGCAAAATATCCATGACTTCCGTTTTGCTGTCCCTAAGTATTCAACCAAAAATTTTTGCAGCTCATTTTGTCCACCTCAGGCCGTCACAGTTCCAAAGCATGTTAAATACTGTCATCACTAGGCGCGAACGGAACGTACGTCACATGTGAACTTTTCTACGAGCACCGCAGAAGAACTAATACGAGTACAAATTCGCGTGTCACTTGCTTCATTTTGAATAGTTAAAGGAATTATCGACTAATTAAAAGTGTTCTGTGATTAGCGCATTCATGTACCTTAGTGTAACCTTTTGGCCTTTATGTCGCGTCTTTGTAAAACGGTTTACCTGGACATAACAAGCTTGTAGACACGGAAGGAAGTTGCAAAATATAGCAAAGATTAAAGTGTATTTTTATCTCAAAACTGGTCACATGATTCTGTGATTAGTAAGCATGGGGAAATCATGTAGACTATTCGTAGGTATCGGTGAGTGTTCGGGAGAATGGGAGAAAATTGTTCGGTGTGTGGGAGGGGCTAGGTAGAAACTCTAAACTGTCAATTATAAAAATATTGGCCGTTTGAATTTGAGTATGTTGTGGGCGGACGAGCATTGAAACGATGAATACGGACATTTGTTTCGCATGGCTATAGCACTATTGGCATTTAGGCCCTCTCCCTCTCACCTAGATGGACGACACTAGGCAAAATATGCCGCTGTGTAAGCGGTTGCGGGAGAAGAATAAGGCCAATTGCAGGGCCACTACACATTCAACCCTAATTGGTTCCCATCGAGGCCCATAAAACAACTTTAAAACCGGCTTTTCGCATGTCTGAGTGGGGGAGGAATGAAAGACAATATTTCAGGGCTGTTGAAATGGAGAAGTCGTTCGTACATGATGGGTCCTCGTGAATTAGTAGTACATTGACTCAGAGGAATAGTGCTGCCAGGAAGAATAGCAGGTAAGAGAGGAGAACGCATCAAAGTTAGGCCGGTAATCCAAGGTGTATGCTGGAACTGGCGGACTGGTTGAGGCTAAGGTGTGTTCAGAACCACCCATCGCAGTCCGCATCGGGCCCTCTCTCGTACCCATCGATGGGTGGTCGCGAAAAAAACTTTCGTGGCTCAAATTTGGACTCATCGGTACGTCTTCCACCACTACATAATTACAGCCATCGTTATTGTCCCAGTACTCTCCACAACTCCCGTTCTCTCCGGCTTGATAGCACACGGCAAATTGGAGATCCCGCGGTGCTCGCATCTTCGAGACATCAACATGAAAATTAAACATGAATGTATCGTAAGTTGTATTTCCGCCTTTGTTCGAAAGTTGAGCATTGTGAACAGCCGGATAGTCCTTTTGAGTTACCCACCGATCACACGTAACCCTTAGTTTAACGCGTTTTACAAATGTAGTGTTTTTAACCTTGATGGTTCCGTAAAGGTACAAAGTATCTGTTCCTTCTTTTTGACTGGTTACTGTCACATTTTCGAGAGAGACAAAGTTTGAATCCAGACGCTGACGAAATGCTAGATACTGAGCAGCAGGTTGAGCAAACGTAAGACGCCAGTTAGAAGTGCAGTTTGTTGGAGGGGTAGAAGTAGGTGAGCATCTCTGTGGACTAGAAAGAGAACTGCTGGAACTATTCGAGTGGCTAAGTCCAGGAACTGGGGGCGGAATTTTCTTTATGTCCAGCAAACTTCCATGTTTCGGACCCAGTGGATTGAATTTTGATCGCACTACTCCAGGCAACGAGTCCTCAAGGTCGCTCATATCCCGAAAATCGTCATCCATCACTGAAAACAAGACAAAAGCCGATCAAATTTTAAGTTTCCCAGATCCTGAAGCCTCGACAAAACCATACTGAGATCACAGAGGCTTGTTTGGTTGGGCTCGGAGGCACTGTACAATGAGCGGGGCTCCGTTGCGTCAATACCACTGGACAAAAGCGGCCTTCCGGAGTCACGTAGAATATCGTAAGCATTTTCTTGGTGTATGAATTTCGGCAAAACTTGATGCACCTCGTGTCCATATAAAAAATCACCTCCACGTCATCAGGCCCTACACACTGACATACTGTAATAAATATTGCACCTAGTTTAGTCTGTTTCTTCGTGCTTTTTTCATAATTTGTTGCAGTGCTAGTTATCTGCACACCTAGTGCGGTAAACCTTCGCTAGATCAGGATCTAGCTAGGTGAGCTTAACCTCTATTCCGGCGACTTGTCACGAGTTCCAGACATGCGCAAACCTCTATATGTCCCGGCACTTATGAACAACCTTTATTTTAATTTTTCCATTAAATACGATGAAATGGTCACCATGGTTTTGCTTTGTTTATTCACTTAAAATTAACAGAAAAATTTATTCATGTCTTTGTCCAATTATAAGGGGTTAGGACAACTGCGCTCTGGAGTCACATAATGCACGGCTACATTAACTGCGGTAGCACCATTGCAAAAGGAGATCTTTTTGACAACGTGAACGCTTATGCTCAAATTTTCCGAAATATCACATTCAAACATTTATTTTCTAGTAGAAAGCTTGTCTACCATTTTATTTTCCTAGAGTTTAAGATGCTAGTTACATTAAAGTTATAATACTATCTTTCTGCATTTATGTAGCTGATTCCAAAATTTCACCATCTAAATGATTTGATATCCTTTACAATAATTGGAAAACTGGAGTTAATGCATTGATGCATAAATGCGTCTTAGCTGCAATGCAACAATCATGTTGTATAAGCAAAGTTCACCAGAAGTCATGTTCAGTTGCTAAACTTTTATCATACTCTAAGTAACGTGTGGGAAGTGATGCATTCTTATGCTGGGGCGACAAACTGTCGTCTTCTACAAAACGTTGCTTGACTATGAGGTCATTTCTAATTAATAAGGTCTACCAAGATGGTAATAATGCAAAATAGGCAATTGTACGTGTCTCGTTTATTAGCTTACTCCAGGGCATCTATTGTCATTTGTGTACCGGGTGAGAAAATCAGAGTTAACAAATATGAAGCATAAATCCATGGACAAACTTTCCAACTGTAGCCTGCACTAATGATAGTTGGATGCCTACTTGCCACTTGGACAACGTCAAAGTTAATTCTGCGTATCTGTTGAATTTAAAATCTAGGAAATTGTTTTACCAAGCTTTTTACAAAAAATCATCCCTATTCGAAATATGTCATCGAAAAGCCTATTCCAGTTTAAATGACAGTCACACGACGATATGGCACGTGAAAATTGACTGTGTATTAACTCAATGAAGTCACATGGATCTAAGCATAACGACTTTAAATCATATGTACCAACTTTGACGATGTTTTGTTCTTCTATAGCCCTGAAATGCGCAAAAAACGTCAATTTGGTCTGTGACACAAACCAAGTGGATTCGTTGGTGCAATTGTGTCAAGTGGTGTATCATCATCCCGTATTTTCGAGGAATCAATTATGTTGGAAAATGAGGTGTCAGCTTATCGATCGTTTGGTTTTAAAAGCTCGCCAGAGAAGAGTTAGGTGGCAAACTAATACCTTGACCTTTCATATAAAATCAAACAGTGCCAACGTGCAACCGTTCACAAAATGTGAGTTGTTGAGTAAATGTGGACCATTAGGTTTCTGGCAAAATTATATGTGCCCTTAAGGACGACTATCAAAAGCAAAGGAAGCTTACAGAATTTATGCTCCACTTGTAGCATAGGGGGCAGCGAGGTATCAGGTATCAGTACTTCCTCAAAGAGGTTGTTCCCAATATCGTCAGCAAACCGAACGCACTTTTTTGTGGTTTTCGGCACTTCCGCTATTGGGACTTCTTTAGCCGACACCTCGTCTTTCGGTAAAAGAGGGCTCGAACAAGTTGTTCCATTGTCTACCTCCAGATCTTCACTTGTGACAAAAACAGGTGATGATGGCGGCTGTTCTGATGGATTTTCTGTACATTGTTGCGAAGGATCCTCCACCTGACTAATAGGCTGGCATACGGCGTCAGTGGAACTTGTGGCACTGTCTGGTACGGACTGTTCCAATTCCTTTGCATAGCAAATTTCTGAATCACTTAATGAAAGGCGTTTTCTTGGTGGTGAAAGTGGACATCTTAGCTGGCATTGACGACTCAGACTCATGCATTCAAACAGAAATGATGAGAGGCTAGGATTATCTGGTCCTGATCCTTTGATCTGGGGTTCACAACTTCGGCAACGAATTTTGCGATGCCGAAAATCCTTTTCAATGGAGTAGAACGAGGAGTCCTTCATCTCGGTGGGAAGAAGACTAGTTAATGAATGTCTAACGCCAGCTTTCTCCTTAATGATTTCAAGTAGATAGCGAGCAATTGAAGACTGTAAACCTCCTTTATTATCTGCTCTGTCTGTTCCATCTTTGCACTCAGTGTCCGGACTTGACGGTGCCCCAAGAAGTTGTTTAAAAAAGAGTTCCTCAGCAAACATTTTCCGAGGGCCCTCTTGAAACTTTCTACTATCCCGGCGAGAAAAATAACTGAAAGGAGAATCACTCTTTGACGCTATCCAATTGGGCACTGTCCCGAAGGCCAACTCACGTTGCCCATAGCCCAGTTCTATCATCGAACCTGTCCAATGTCTACCAAGTTCCGAGACCATCGAATTTTCAGTAGGTATTTTGCTGCTCGTAGTGCCGTCTATAGCTCTATATTTGGCGGAGCGACCACAAATAACAGAACCATTAGGAACCAGTGCACCTTCACTGCAGCTTTTGCGTGTGGCACAGCCAGATGCAGCGTCAAGCATTATTTAAACGACCAGCTGACTGCCCAAACAGCCAATGAGATCGTGCAGCTAACGAGCCAGTCACGTACGCACAGTGTATTAGGTAGCTTTCGGTCGCCGTAGCCAATAAGAACAGCTTCATCCATTGATTGGCTCTTTTGCTGGAGGAGACTACGACCGACGAGCCATCTTTCCCTCCTTCTTGCACAAATGATTAGGGAGGTGTTTTGTGCTCAGAAATCAGGCATCACAGTTACGTTATTCGATTTATGCTATTAGCAGTACTTGTTTTGCTATCACCTAGGACGCAAGAAAAAGAGGGGAGTGTTCGAGACTCTAGATGCCTATTGTAAAAGTAAACTCGAGTATCCTGCTGTATCAAGATACATTGGCGACGCTTTTGAGTTTTCGAAAAAAAAAGAAAGCAAGTACTATAACTGTTTGAAACAGCCTGTGTCATCAGATGATTGCAGCAAATTTGCGACCAAAGTCACAGTAATGAGTATGTAAAAGGAATATCCACCGCCTCTGCCAGCCCAGGCTCTGCCTATTGCCCCTGCTGCAGTCCCGGGCTTGTACATGTCTGTACTTTGCCCTCTACTTGTGTCAGCGAGACATCTTCACATGTGGTCCCTCAACTTAATGTTCATTCGTTGATGTGCCTGATTGAAATTACCAGCAGGATTTCCCACCCGAGCACGTATGCTACCTATAAACACTCGCGCTCACGCACACACACACACCTCGCAGACTCCTTTACCGCTGGTCTTCGAAGTCTTTGTGGGGCCGTTTTGTGCTTCTAACATGGGTGACACGAGTCCCAACTCAGGATTCAGGAACACTTCGATTTCTTGTAGACTTTCGGGGTTATTAGTGTCTACTGCCAACTATGTTTCCCAAAGTATTGTTTGTATTTCGAAGCCAGCGTAACATCAGACATTAAAGTCGGTTGAATCTCGTGTAAAAGTATGTTAGTATCCAAGAGAAAATACGTCGAAGCCACCAACGCAAGGCAAGAAAACGTGCATTATCGTTGAAAAAACTGGTAGGCTTAAAGAGGCCTAGGTACAGATTAGTTTTAGACCGTCAAACTAATCGAGCATGAAATAGTGCACCTATGAAAGTAGCATTAGGGGTCAAGGTAGTTATTAACGTGCTATTCCATGCTTCAAAAATGGCGGGTTAGCAATAAAATAGCTACGAAATGGTAACACGGGTTAACTTCATTAGTGTCAAATAACTTGAGTTTCAGAACGTTTAGTGGAACTTTATAAAGCCCTGAGATTCATATCCACTAAACCCTTAAATTTCCATTGAGATTGCATCACCTGAATATTGACGTGGCATTAAATCTGGGAATCGGGGCACGCCAACGATTAGAATTGGCTTTCTGTCATATGGACATATCGTAACAGCATAAAGTACCATGTTGTACCATGTTTGTGAGTTACACTGTAGTGACTACTTGCTGTGTCATCAAGACAAAGAACGCGTAAAATTCAGCCCTGGTTTTCTTGGCTGGTGTGCACCACTCTGTTTTCAACCGTTGAGAATATAGATTACCAGATGGTTTTTGCATATTTATTTTCTGGCCAAACTCAATAAATAAGACGTTAAACAAAAATGGGGCTCAAAGCCTCTAGTAGATGCACAAAAATGCCTCCAAGTTAAGCCCGCCTCATCGAGCACACTTCGCAACGTGCAATTAGCTGTTTAGAGGATGGAACATTGCACCATTATGCACGTTTTGTCATTTAAAGAGCAGTACTTGTAATTTTATACAGATTCTTAGACGCGCCACTGCTCTGTTTCAATGAAGGAATAACAGTCTGGGCCAATTTATTGAAGGTTTTAATATCACGATGCACAGTTTTTGATGTTAGGATCAGATGAATTTTGTTTGCCTGAAAAGTGTTGGTAAAATCATTAACTTTAATGTCTAAACAAGTAACGTTCCTAACCCCATACATTAAATTTCGAACTAGGAAAACAGCAATTATTAGTCGTAAAGACGCGTTTATTTGTATACTTAAGGTAAAAGAATAAGAAATTCCGTACAAACATGCTGCTTTTTTACAGCTGATGGGTCACTTTTTGAAGAAGGTAATTTTGTTAAATGTAAACTTTTAATGGCCAGGAATGTCTCTGTTTCTGTCTGATATGTGTTTCAGTGTAGTTGGTTCAAAGTAACATAACTTCACAATGACTAGATTTTCTTCACGGAAGTATATTTAAATGATCTAATTGGTGCTAAAAAATTGTTCAGCCCTTTCCTTATTAAACACCAAATGAATTGGCACTCAGAAAACGTTCTTTAAATTCTGAAAACAGCGAATTCGCGGTTGGTAGGATGAATTTGCGTGGACATAACTCCAAACGGCTTTAATTCAAAAAAATAATCTGATAGTAGTGCAGAGGTACCTACGATTTCCGATTTAGTGAATTGGAAGTGTCTTGAAGTTTGGATGTACACGACGGCAAGTTAAATCACTGCCTGATTTTATAATATCGACAAACATGGTGTTGTTAAGGAAACCGTTGCACAACTCAAAACTGGTGACACCATACTAACGTCCATAAAATCACTTCACTTATAAAATGCAAACTAGAGGTATGTTTGTCAAAAAATGAACTACTGTGTAGGGTTGATCTTGATGTCTATGAGCATGATTGGATCCCCATGATAAATGGCTCTCCCGAAGGAATCATTTAAATATCCAAACCTACTATCGAAAGCTAACTTTTCCTGGGATTTTGGTGACCAACCCCTGTTTGAACTTAGCGTTGTCGTCGGATTTCTTAGTTCCTACTCATGGCGCGTCCGGTAAGGTTTGAGAACCACACCAGCGCTTCTACGACCTGTTGAACTGATGATAAATGGTCAGCCACTATTTTTCAGTGGCCGCATGACCTCACTCAGTCAAGCGCACCATATCCGATGCGAGTTCGACAAGTCGGCTAGGAGTCCATGTCCTGATACTTTTTCCAACAAAATCGAAAACTGACAATGAATACTAGGTGCTACTTTTTACTACGTTAACTTTTTCCTTGATTAACGAGCTGAGTTAATTGGACTTACCTAAATTTAGTTCACTGGCACATAGATCATGCGACGCCCGCATTATTCAGACTCACATTTGATATTTGTTTAAACTGGCAGTATTTGAAGCCCTCTCTGCTGTATTTGGGTAAAAATTCATTCGTTGAGAGATAAGATTGATAAAACGTCCATTTTTGCAAAAAGCGAGTTTGGTCATTTCAGTTTGGCAATTTGATACCACTGAATTATCGTACTCCTATTACACTTTAGTGAACTCCGTGTTTCTAGAGTTATGTGCATAAATATACATTCTACAGCTGCTGAACTTTCTTAATTTAACCAAGCTGAAAGCTCCAAATTTTTAAATAGTTTTAAAACAGAAAATTGCAGATTCAAATTATAGGCAGGTTTCACAATTTGGATCAGCAAGAGCACACAGTCACCCACGCGTTACCGTTTTGAAAGAATAAAAAGTGCTACCGCAAATTTGGCAACAGCCATCCATGAACACACTTTCTTTAGTAAATTTTTTTTCTCTAAAATCAGGAAATCTATATATAGAAAGTAAATAAAACGTTCAAGCAAGAGATCCTGTAAGGTTTATTACGTACACATCAGCCCACACACAGACACACCCACACACACACACGAAAAACATCGTGTCATGCTTGTTTAAGTTGCAAGATTAGTCCTCGCTGTCACTAAAATACCCCGATACCCAGATTTTGCATAGGACGAATTTTGAAATATTTTTTCGTGTCATTCAGTAGCCTATTTTAGTCATCCTGGAGTGGAAATACCAATCGTTTTTGTTAGATTTTGACGATGTAGCGTTAAACTCACGTCCTGTGTTATTGAATAAATTACCGAGTTGCTCATTTCTTTACTTATAGGAGTAAAAATTAAGCAGACTTAAATTATTAATAATCAAGAAGTCAATTGGTATAGTGTTGCTACATGAAAATGTTATTCTGATTTTTTTTCACTGATTTTAAATTAGGAATACTTGGGTATGGTTTGGCGGATGAGTACCCCACCTCCTAGCCCATATTAATTCACTTCTTTTGGGCAAGGTAATTCAAAATATATAGTTTGGACAAGAATTTATGCAGTTTACTCTTGATAAAAGAAGGTATCCAAAAATTAATTTAGTTTCACCACCAATCGCTCGAGCAGTTTCTTTATATGTATTCCTAATAATCTTTCTACTTGTAACTGTGAGTAAAATGCTAAGAGTAACGATATGTTACCCACATCAACTACTCTTACACGGGAATGCAACGGACCGGTAATGTGCAGTATATGCCGATGTTCCAATATAAATAAAAGCTTTAAACGTCGTTTTTCGTCATTTAATTGCACAAGACAATTCAATTCAAGCAAATTAAATGAGAAATTAAAAGAAAACAGCAAAACCGCTGAAACCCATATCCTGCAGGCCTTTTCAGTCAGCATATTTCGAGCAATACGACACATAGTTGGAAGTAAATAATATCAATAAAATCATACCTTAAGTAGACTTACAGAGCTCAATGCAATATGCTTTTTTAAAGACTAAATATTGACGGTCCTATTTGTCCGGGATCTTGAAAAAGGTAAAATTTTAAGCAATTTTCGACTGGAACTGTTGGCAAGATCTGACAAATCCATTCTTGTCCAACTGATATTCTTAGGCGGTCAAAGCACTGTGAGATATTTACTGGTTTAGTACTTTGATTTATAGGCATTAGAGTTGTCTTTATGTAAACAAACGCCTGAACGACGTAGTAGATCAGGTACTGTACAATGCATTTACGGACCATTGCTAATGCGTTTCACAACCAATGGCATCGACGCATTTGGCCAAAGCATACCAACCGGTTTTAAAGTGGTATGAATTGCTCCCGGAAATGTCACCGGTCATTACGAGAATCATTTTATTTCATGGTAGCAATGAGCTATTTGTCCAGTTTGATATGCAATAGTATGTTAATGGCATTTG